TAGTTACCCCAAATCAATGGCCAACAAACACTCCATGAACAAGTGAGAAGACGGCCCCCACGCCACCAACGCTGTCCTGGGCTCCTGCCCTCCAAGCTGCTGACAATCTCCACAGTCCAGGCCTTTGTCGCCGGTCAAGAGCCTGAGTTGACAAGTTCCGGCACAGGCCAGCCCTGCTCACACATCCCTGACCATCCTACGTCACCCTCCTTGGCTGCTGTCTCCCTTCCAGCCTGACCCTGGGACAGGGCTGTCCCTGACTCATCTCTGCGTCCCAACATCAATAGGCTACTGAAGGGTGAAAACTAACAGATTGAGGGGGGGGGGCCTTCCCATCCTCCCAGCACCCCCAAAGTTTGAGTCAGTGATTCCTTCCAAGGCCAGGAGGTGTGTGCAAGTATGTGTATTGGCAAGGAGGTGAATATGCGTGTCAAGCTCTCCTGTGTGATGAAGCAGGAGAGGCATTGGGTCCCCTGGAGAGACTACAGCATTTGAGGTTCAGATAGGTCTGGGGTCTGAAGGCTAGCGCCCCTGCTGCCCGTGGCTTCAGTGAGCCTCTGGGGGTGACCTGCCTCCATGAGATGCCACCTCTGCGTCTAGCTGGAGCAAGGGAGTCACCCCACGGGCCAGGCTGGCAGGGGTTAACGAGGAAGGCAGCAGCTTGTTTCTGCACAACAAAGCACCAGATCAATAAATCTGCTGCAACTGTGATTGACCAGCAGGGGCAAAGGCCTTGGGGAATTCCAGCCAGCTTCTCTGAAACATCCAGAACAGAGAATCCTGGCACAGGCATACGCCACAGAGGCCCTTGGTCTGTCTGTCCTGGGGTCAATATCCTTGGGGCTCAGGCCTCCTTCCCACACTCCCACTCCCAGGGCCTCAGTGTAGATAACAAGGTGTGAGAACAGGAAGGGACCCTAGAACCCTCCAGTTCTGTTCTTTAACTGGGGTCCACTTTAAGAATTCAGCCATCTGTACAACGGGATTGAATTTTAAGACGTGCGCTAATCTGTAACTGAAATCCGGTCCCTTTCTGTTAGGACTGTGCATTAGGAGTATGGGGTTTAATTGTGTCACTAACTGTGATGACAGGTATTTTCATAGCTCATGACATTCGAGCAGGAAGTCTCAGAGTGTATTACTATCACCATCTCAAAATTGTAGCAGTGATTGCACCCAGCACAGATCTGGCATAAGGTGCCATCAAATAGTTACAACTCCATTGCAAATTTGGTTTTTAGTATTTGTAATACTCAAACTTTGATTTTTGTAATTTGATATATCCTGTAGTTTCTTTGCTATCTTTTATAACTTATTTTACCAGACTGCCGAAGGATCCACAACACAAAAATAGTTAACAAGCCCTACTCTGGTTCAACATCCACTGTAGGTGGGGAAACTGAGGCCAAGAGCAAGCGCTGCTTTTCCTGGATGGATGGTTGGGTGGGTGGGTGGA